CCACCGCTGCCACAACTTCCTACTAGACCTGAATCGCAGTATGACTCTGCACGGCCAGTCAACGAGAACGGATATGTCAGAGGCCCACACCCGGTGCCCAGGCAGGCGCCGCAGAGGACAAGCAGCGTGCAGGGTGGTTATGCTCCATATCCGCAGGCCAACCAGAATGTGCAGTACGCGAGTCATCCAGTCCGACACGAGCCACTCAGTCCCCTGAGTCCATCCACCCGACAAGACAACCTTACAGTCCCCATGATGGTCCCCAATCAATCTCAGTACTCCCAGCAAGGGCCGCCCCCTTCAAGACCGGGCTATTTCACAAACCTGAATCCGCCAGTATATCAAGATCCTCCGCAAAAACATCAGCGCCAGCCGTACCCTCCACAGCAGCCACACCAACAGCCTCCTCCGCAAAAACATCAGCGCCAGCCGTACCCTCCACAGCAGCCACCGCCGCAAGCCGCCAGAACTAAATCTCCCGAAGACCTCCTTACCTCCCCTTTCGAAACTCCTCTTCCCTCCCAACCTACAAACATCGCTCCACCTCCCATCCCACCGAACCCTCAAAAAGACGCGCTCCTCTCAGCCCTTTCTCAAACTCTCACCCAGCAAATCCACTCGACCCACGCCTCCAATCTCTCCGCACTCCCACCACTTCATGCCCAACAAGCAGCACTCACATCCACCCTCAACGCCATCAACGCCGAAATGTCTCAACTCAACGATCTCGAAGCTCTACTCTCTTCCAATGAAGCTGTCCTTCACAAAGCAATGCGAGATGCTGATAAAGTCCTCGACGATGCAAAGCGCAGGAAGGTACCAATTGTGGATGAAGTGCTTGTTGCACCTACGGTGGTTGCTGGCCAGCTGTATGCGAGCGTAGCGGAGGAGAGGGCTATTGAGGAGAGTAGAGCTATTTTAGGGAAGGCTTTGGATAAAGGAAGGATTGGAGGTGGAGTGTGGGCTAAGGTATGTTCATGACAGAAGACATGCTCCTCGAGACGTGGTATACTGAATTGGTCATTCTAGCAAACACGGAGTCTAGCAAGAGAGGAGTTCTTGAAGAAGGCGCTGATCAAGAAGATTTCGCGGGGCATGGGATTGGTGGAGGACGAGAGGTGGGGATGATTGGGAAAAATCCCATAACATTCTGTATATATTCTGGGTCTAATCTCCCGAAATTGCCGCTATCTATTGTAAGGTTCTGTCTATACACTTGATACACTTGACTCTGGGTTGAATTGCGCCGATTGGAATTCACTGTGCAGACTCTAAAGCCAATGCAAGCTACACAAAGGTTCAAATATCCCTGCTTGAACACGTAACTGGGATGGAAATTCATGGCTTGCCCAAGGTCCACGATCGAAAGACTGCATAGTCACATTTAGGCTGTTCCAATGCATTCAAACATTTTGGAGATTTCCATAACTCAGACGTCATCGCTAAGTACAGTGCATTTCAGCGACGCAGTAACTCCCCATTCACATATATAAACAGGCGCAAATATGCAGCATAGAGTATATGCATGCCGCTAATCCGCAATATTAGGATTTGTGACATGAAAACATAAAGAGAGGAACCCTGAAAGGTAGGTCGCGGTAAAGAGTTGCGAGGGTGGACGCATAAAATACAGGTCAACTCCCCCATGTCAACTCACCCAATGTAAACAGACAGATTACTTCCCCAATACGAGCTCGGTACCCTGGGCCCTTCGACCATGAAGTGACATCTATGCCACAGAAAAGCTCTGAACATCATAGTCAACCATGCCTCTTCCACAATGTCAGGGTTGTTAAACCCTTTATCGCGCATATCATCAATAGTTTTTGGAATGTTATCGAAATAAATGTGCGCTCCTTCGGTTCTCCACCCTACAACATGCATGCCATAGTGGTCTCGAGCCTGCGAGACGTTGATGCGTTTGCGGGCTTGGGGGAAGTAGTTGACTACACGGCGAATGTGTGAGTATATAAAGTCTGTGTAGAGGAAGAGCTGGCGTTTTTCGTCGCCGAGACCATGCTTATATCTGAGGTCATGAAAGTATTGTGAAGTTCGATTGTGTTTGCCATGCAAATCGTCAATAGAAGTAATCGAACGGTGATTTGAGTCCTTATTGCACATATCCTGGCCTTCCCACATATCCCCGTATGAGTCTAGTAATTGCTGGTACTGCACCAGTATAGAACGGGTCTGCCTTGTGATATTTTGGCCTTTAGCGTCTCGCTTAGCAATAAGGTCCTTTAGACGATTGTGAAAGACGACGAAACCTTCTTGTCGCTGGGTGGGGCCGATTACGTACCCGGCAGGCTGGGGGACGCGAATAAGGTCAGAGCCATAGTGACGAATCATTGGGGAGGCGAAGCCAATGATGTCGGCTATTCCAGGCGTGAAGCCTGGGTTCGCTTCGAGAGTTCCTCACTCGCTCCGCAGCTCCGCCGCCAGGATCCACCACCTTCCGTAATGTGGAGAGTACCTCCTCTTCTATGCCCATCTTATAGTCTGGGACGCCTAGGCTATGGTCACCAGGAACAATGCCAAAGCCCATCATGTCCGCGAGGTTTGAGGGAATTTTTAATTCGGTACTCTTATCAAATCCCTGTGGTAGAGGGTCCTTGATACTAATTTGCAAGACTGTGCCTATCGACCTGATCGTAGTAGAGGTAATGGTATGCCTATTTCCCTCAGCTCTTAGATTTCCATCGATCGATTCAAACTGTTTCCAGACCATGCCTAATCGTCGAGCGAGTATTGCAATGTCTGACATAGTGACGATTGCTAAAGGTCGAACAACTTCTAGGGGAACAAAATCCCATGATCGTCTTTGTACTTCTAAGTCGGGTATGACGCTCCACTTGGGGTCGGATCATCTGAGACCCTCGCGTGTAGTGACGTGCAGTGCTTCTATAAGCCTAACCCAAGATACTAGCGATGTTGTAACAGAGATTTTCGCTGTGCCTGCAGTATGTCTTTTCCATTGCTTCCAAAGTCCCATCTAACAAGTAATGATGCGGTTTTCTGCTGCTGTTGTAACCGTTCTGATACGAGAGGCCCAAGAGCGGGGTCGTATACAGCGTCTCGAAACGCATCTCACTCCACCGAAAGCGCCGTTGCGTCATCTTCGCCCACCCCATGACAGACGCCTGGCATCTTCGGTAGCCATCTGCAGTAGCCAGGAACTGGCCAAGGACCTGGCTGATGGTCGTAATGAGGGCTACAAGAGCCACAGCGAGTGCAATTGTCGAGATAGCAGTGTCGCTGGCCATGGTTGTAGCGGTACCATCGTTGTGGTGGGGAGCCGAGCCACCAGCAGGCAGAAAACACCTCTCGGCTAGACTTCGGGTAAACAAGAGCGAAATATCTCTCAGTGAAAGAGCGATTGATGAACAGGGAACTCCACTAGACCCTGTGTACAAAGCTTTCAATCTATGCTTTTTGAGGCGAACATGATATGTATTTGAGGTTGAGGCAGCTTTCCCCATCCGTGGTCGACTACAGCTCCATGGATTTTGGCTCTAGTAGTGGGAGTCCTGAGAAGGCCAAGGCGAATTCAGACTCGTCATAGAAGCAGGGTAGTATACTTCAATTACATCTGGGAAAAGCATGCAGACGTCAATGCGTTCACACATGCACTGGAAGTTCCGTGGCAATGTAGTCGTGGGCCTAAGCGACTTGAACAGTCAAGTTGGCAGCTGGAATACTCTGCTGGCCTCATTTAAAGGTAGAACCTGGCCGTGCAGGCTGTACTAACGTCGGCGAGAAGCTGTAAAAGTGAACCACTTCTGAGAATGCCATGGGCATCAACATTTCTGCCAGGGAAGAGTCCGTCTTAGATCTCTCTAGCAATAGATAAATTAGGGCTCTGAGTCGCCTTTAGAATGAGCTTTCCGTCATTAGTATCCAGATACAGAGTGCCATAGCTGCCATGTAAGGATACTTAGGTCCGGCGATGTATCACGAACGAATGGTCTTCTCCCTCCAAATGGCCTTGACAGGTAAAAGGTTTTCTGCTGAAGTTTGCTCAGCTAACGGGCCTCGGTTAGCGGACCCTGTCGCAAGAATAGCCCTGACTTGCAGTGGGACATATCTCCTGAACAAAGATTGCTATGGAGAGACTTTCAGGGAGGAAAAGATAGATCGGATATTGGCTTTTTTATGATTTTAAATGAGGAGTTCCGGGGGCAACTCCTACCGGGTACGGTAGAAGGCCAGGAGAACATTGGGGCCTTTATCCCCAGTCCGACTACAGGCGCCCTTCGACTAGTTATATACAGCTGCCTCTTTAAAGAGGAACCACCCCTGAGATATATACCGATTAAATACCCTCGCGTCCCTCCTGCTTCTAATACTTTTCGGAGTCGGGTATTATTTGCAAATCCAAGGTATAACGGCGGGAGGAAAGAGGGAATAAATCCATTTCGCCGTGCCCTTGTTCTCATTCTAGCCATCCCCCGGGGGGCTCCGCCGGAGCCCTTAGGGGTACTAGGCCCCTGTGCTCGTCAACATCTATAAATATCCTCGATCTGTTTTCCTAGATAAGCCTGAAAAAGGGTACCGGTAGCGTTCAAGTGCTGTTGCGTAGAAACCGAAAGTACGAGGATCGGTAGCAATTCGTTCGAAACTAACAGCCCGGTTCGGAGGCCGGGGCGTCGTCTGAGGGCGTCGTCTGAGGGCGTCGTTACTGTAGTCATGGGGCGTCTTCCGAGGACGTCGTCATCGCTCGATACGAAAAGCTGTCCGAAGCTGTCCCAACACCGGAACTGGTACACTAGGGTTGTCGGTGCGGGTAAGGTGGGGATCACTTGGCTCTCCTGAGCGCCCGGAGGCCCCGAGGAGGTTCGTAGCCAGCATCACGTACAGGTGGATCCCATTGCTGGCCGGAGGAAAAGCTAGATGAGGCTTTTGAGAACAACTTTTGCTCGAGAATCTAGCTGAAATATCACGGACTGGGAATCTTGTATATTTTAAATTATATTATTAAATAGGATTCCATTTTACGGAAACCCTTCTTAGCTCAGCTGGAAGAGCGTCCGGGTATGCTCACCCAACGAAGTTTGATTGAAACGTAAATTAATAAGACTGCAGCTGTAATGGTTGAATTGAAACCGGAAGGTCCCTGGTTCGATCCCGGGAGAAGGGAGTTACATCCTCAATTTTTTGTATCCTTTTTGCTCATAAGTTAGTGGAATGGAGGCCTCCGACCAGACCAGAATTTTTTGAAATGTGAGTGTACGAAACTGCGGTGAGACTTTCTAGATGATGTCTTTTTTGATGAGTTCTAATCGGAAGATATCCCTATGGTACCAACGTCGAATTTAATCAAAAGTATTTATTATAAATAAGAAAAATTCTCAGCCATCAACTTTGACAGACAGACGTTCCGTGCGAAATTCCTGAGTAAATCTGCTACAATATCTGTTCTAAGTGGATGAAGTTTACCAGTGGTGACGTCTTGTCGAGGTTGACTGTGCAAAGAAGATCTTCGAAAAGTCCATACGAGGATAATGAGAATCATTTCTTCCTGATAGCAAAGCTATGACGCATCAAGAATATGCTATGGGACAAGGTTGCGGTATGTACATTGATATCGAGGCCATTCCTATACTCCAAATACCACAAACGAAAAATGTGAGTCCAAATTACGAGTGACGTTCAACAATAGTGAAAGCAAGAGGAGTCCACCAGAAGCCCATGAGAAAACAAAAGCGGACGAGCTGCGAAGATGACAGAATGGCAGTAGCAAGAGCAGCAAAATTCAATCTTGGAGGGGAGATGAGTGCTCAACCCGTTCGTGCAAATGACTATGGAGTATAATGTTTTGAAACAAACAGGCGAAGGAAGATTGGAAGTAGGAAACTGAAATTGTAGAATTGTTGAGGCTGTTGTACTTGATTCTTTTGTTTAGTTGAGGGTCGAAGCAAAACTAAACGTGGTTTGACTTCACGATATGACGGTAGCGAGACGGTGCCCCAAGCAAGAGCAAGAAGCAGAAGCAGAGCGAGGAGGAGATGCTAGCAGCAAGGCAGCAGAACAGGGCAGGATAGACGAACTCGGAGGGGGGCGCAAAAGAGTGCAAGACGCGTGGATAGATGCCTGGCATGCTGTCCATAGGTGGAGAGATGTCTGAACCGTCATTTAGGCGGCATACCTAAACATCAATATGGTTGCGAGCCGATGATGGTGTGCAGGACAAAGGTTGTGAAAGCAGCAAGCATTCAGCAGGGTAGGGTGGCAGAGCACGCAACGATCTGAATTGTTGAACTTTGCCCAACTAAGTGTGAAAACTCCAGGGTGGTGAAGCGTGAAAAGAGCTGAAGTCTGGGAATTTGCCCATCAAGTTCTGAAAACCAGGAGGATGACGAGGGCGAATCTGCCAAGGGTAGAATGAGTTAGAGCATCTAATTGGTTTGGGGAAGGCATAATGGCCAGCAGGTTTTTGAAATCAGGAATGGAATGAGCGCAGAAATAGGGCAAATGATGGGGTATGAGACCGAATGTGTGTCGTTGTCGCCAGCAAGTGGTGATGAGGGATTGAAGATTGTTGGTATGTCGACCTGCCATTCTAAACCTCACGCCCCCTTCCATTTTCTCAGCGTTGCTCACGAAAAATGTAGTCAACATCATATATGCTTCGGATATATTCATCTAAGACCTAAGAAAAGATGATAACCCAGGGGTATATCACGCAATCATAAACAGCTCTATCATCGTAATATCGCATTGCAGTTCCCAGATATCCGACCCATCCATCCCAAACATTCGCCACCACATAACCAACACTCACCCTCAGAAATCAGTTCCGACCTTCCTCTCTCTGATACCAGCCACATTCTCCTCATCGCCCTTAATGCGCATCTCATCTCCACTCCCACTCTGACTGTCATCCTGATATCCCTCTGCACCATACGCAACACTGACATTCCTGATCTCATCACCAACCTCCATCCAGCGCTCACTGCATGCCGGTATTGGTGAGATCTTAGTCAATATATAGTAAGTCCCCGACGAAACAATGAACCCGCAGAAGAAGTTCAAGTTGTATATATACGTCGCCCCCTTAGGAACCGGTTTCCCAATAGCGCCAACGAAGCCAACAATGTTGATGAGTATACCGCAGATATAGGCGGTGTAGCCGCGCCAGTGGAAGCCGAAGGTGAAGTAGTAGGGGGAGGCCTTGCGGGCGGAATAGAGGTCGCGGATTTGGTAGTAGCCGCGGCGGACGATGTAGTAATCGCAGATGATGACGCCGGCGATGGAGGAGAGGAAGACGGAGTAGGCGGATAGGTAGGTTGTGAAGTTGTTGGATGTGGAGAGGAGGTTCCTGTATAAGATGAGTTAGGAAGTGATCTGAGGATTTGGATCGGGAGACGTACCATGGGCACATGGCAAGACCGACAGCGGCGCAGATGTAACCGCCGCGACGAATATTTAAGTAACGAGGAAATAAGGCTGTCATATCGGTGCCAGCCGACACTGAGTTTGCAGCAATGTTCGTACCCAACTGGGCCAGAGCGAAGGCAAATGAAATGATGAACACTCCAAATCTAGCGGGTCCATTGGCAGTCTTCCCTGTGTTCGGGTTGATCAAAAAATACGAAAGCAAATTCAGCGGGTTCCAGATCGGCTCTCCGTAGATGACAGCTGAAGAGGATGACACGATGATACCAATGAACGAGGTCACGGCAAAGCCCACAGGAATAGTGATAAGCTGCGACCACAGCGCATCTCTTGGTTTCCTCGCAAAACGGGCAAAGTCGGGATCATTGACGATCAAGGTAGCGAAGTTGGCAATGGAGGACATAATGCCCTGAACGATGGCCCACCCCAGCTTAGATCCAGACGCTGTACCTGACTGATGCACAATTGGTCCAATGCCATGGGCCCTGACAATAGCCCAGATGAAGAAAGCGACACCGGCGGGAGGGACGAAAAAGGCTTTGGCCGTGAAGAGATGGCGGATCTTGTGCACTGGGAACCAGATTGCCGGCAAGCTGCATACCCAAAAAAGGAAGAAGCTAACGAAGTCCCTTGTATTTGTTCCTGAGCTCACTGGGAGGCTGTTTGGTACGTCGTTGTAGGAGGTCCAAATAGAGCGGATCATGAGTGTAACGCATTCACCTGGGTTTGTGTAAGTGGATGAATTGTGAAGCAGCCAAAGAGAACGTACCTCCAATCCATGATTGAACGCCGTACCATATACAAGCCATAGCAGCACGATTGAACACCGGCCAAAGCGAGCCCCAGATACCGAATGAAGCTCTGCTGACGACAGGGAAAGAGATGTGGTATGTTGCACCGATGCGTCCGGTCATGCAGATGAAGCAAGCAGCGATCGTGTAGCCTAGCCATACGCAGATCCATGACTGCCACCATGAGAGGCCATTGGCGACCATAGAGGAGGATATCATCCAGGTATTCTGTAGTATGTCAGGCCATGCTCTTCTTGTCCAATATTCTCTGCTCTTACGATGTTGAAGGAGTCCGAGATCCAGAAACCCACGAAATTCCATGCTCCCCACTGACGGCGTTCTGGCTCGACTGTGATCTTGGTCAGCTTCAGCTTGTAGAGCAAGATGTTAATTGGGAACGAACCAGGCTTCAAGTCAAAGTTCGTCAACATCAATTGGGCATTGGTCAAGCCGGGCTCTGACGACACAGCCAACTTGTCCACGATCCTCGCGACCTTCGAGTCCCTGACCTTCTCCATGATGACGGTGATGCGACCTGCGGGTTTATGCTGTGAATATTTCCGTCGAGTACTCGTATGCCGAGAAAGATTCGAGGGCTCAAGCCGTTGACCTATTGAGTTCAAGTTTCGTATGGGCGTTTGAGTTGGACTCGAAGGGTCTTGGGATATAAGTGGCTCCTCCTCTTCCACGGTAGCAAATTCGTCGTCTATGGCGGTCGCGTCGCTACTCTCGCCTGACTCCGCAAACTGGAAGTCGTCAAGCTCGAGGCTGTTAAGGGAGGAAATAGAGTGAGGGCGCACATGTCTGGCAGCCAACATGAAGTATTATATGAGCTAATTGACGACGGTTGGGTCCGCCCGATAAAGGACCCTCGCGGGGTCATCTAGCTTGGCCAATTCTCGACTTCAACCACGACGTTGGTAGGGAAAGAAAGAGCGAAGGACGTTGGCGTTGCAGTAGCGGGTTGGAGATGGGCGGCGGGGTTACATAGAAATTGAAAACTTCCCTGTCAAAGGCTGCATCATAGCGCGGGGGTAGGATTTCCGGGGTCATGGATCCCCCGTTAGCTTTATCTTTTATCTACGCGATGAAAATCTCTCACATCGTTACTTCACTCTATCGAGCAACCACATGCGCAGTCCACGAGTCTAGATGCATGTGAGGCGATATCGTGATACTTCTTCATGCATGGTTATCGACGTGCAGGTAGCCACAGAGTCGTCAAGATTCTTCCAAGATCTAGACGCACAGGTGGCGGCGACTACTGGTTTGGTGGCATGGGGTGTCGTGTGACTAGGAGTTTCTCCAGGCCGTCCAACGGCCACATCCACCTAGTAACCTGCTGGATCAAACTCCAAATGCTTCACGCTTGTACAAACTTTTACTAGCAGAAAGTGGAAGTAACAAAACCTACAGACCCGCGCAGAGAGGAATATTCATTCCTATCTTTGTCAGCAAGAGAGTAGGCGATGGCTAGCACAGACTTACCATTAACTTCTTTAGTGTCTGCTCTTCCCTGGTCTCTTCTCGCAGAGTCAGCTCTGCTAATTGGAGCTTCTTCGCTTGCAAATTACGTATCTAGTGGTGATTAATATGATTAGCACACTGTATTGCCTTCACCGCGAAGGACGTAGAAGTCTACCTCCTCGATGGTGCAGAGCCTTTGTAAAGGCAGTTACGGCAGATGAGTTGTGAATAGCCGGTCATTATTGAGCCGGCTGTCAAACCTTCTGCTTCTCCAAGAGCATTAATTTGGCAAGTACATCTAGCGCACCTATTTTCGTCAAGGAATTGCAAGAGGCCGAAAGAATCTCCTATATTGGCATTTTTAGTCTATTCCATTCGTCGAAGGCCGCTCACTCCGTGATTGGAGAGCGACCGGAGGCGTAAGATTCCTTGTTGAAGACTAGACACGGTACGCGCTTGCCCTGATGAAGAGATCGCAGCATCG